TATTTCGTTACATTTTATTAAGTTGGCTTGAGAAAGCCAACTTACTGATCTACTATTTAAACTTATTATTCTTCTTCTTCTGAGCCAAAATTTAAACACTATCTCCTCCTAGAGCTTTCAGGCTACAACCACGAAACTTGGGTCTGACCTTCAGACTGGTCTGACTCGGTATGCTATATCTTTTCTAACTGATCCAACTTATCATTTTAGTAAACCAGACAATCAAAACCACCTAAAATCTCATAGACTTTCATTGAGGGTGTGAAAACTTTTATACAATGAGACTTATGGGGTTTTTAAGCTGTCTACTGCCATAGCAAAGCTTCAAAACTCCCTACTGAAAAAACAGCTAAAACCAGCCTAAACTGATTGGCTGCTTTGGCTGGTCTACCAAGCTGGTTAAAAAGTGGTTTTGGCAACTTTTTAGCTGGTCAGGCTGGTCTTAGCTGCTCAAGCTGTGAGACCTGCTAAAAGACCAACCAAGCTAGGTTTAAGCTGGTTTTTAGCTGTTTTTTTTTTTTACTGAATCAACTGGTTTTAGCTGGTTTTAACTGTAGAAACAGAATAGAAACATGCTAACAACATGCTAGTAACATACTAATCATGCTAGACACAAGCTAGCAAACATGCTAGTAACATGTTAAACATGCTAACAACATGCTAGTAACTTGCTAATCATGATAACAACATGCTGGAAACAAGCTAGCAAAAATGCTAGTAACTTGCTAATCAGGCTAGAAAAATGCTAACATGCTAGCAACATTCTAGTAGTTTGCTAAGCATGCTAGCAACATGCTAATAACATGTTAATCATGGTAGAATCATGCTAGTAACATGCTAATCATGCTAGCAACATGCTAGCAACTTGGTAATCATTTTAACAACATGTTAATAACTTGCTAATCATGCTAGAATCATGTTAACAATATGCTAGTAACTTGCTAATCATGGTAGAAACATGCTAGCAAATTGTTAAACATGTCAGAAACGTGCTAGCATTATGCTAGTAACATGCTAATCATGCTAAAATCATGCTAGTAACATGCTAATCATGCTAGAGTCATGCTAACAACATGCTAGTAACATGCTAGAAACATGCTAGTAACTTGCTACTCATGTTATGATGCTCCATAAAAGACTCCTCAATTGATGGTATCTCAGTACAATAGAATATCTGGGTATTTATTTAACAAAAATGTAACA